GCTGTGCTGTGCTGTGCTGTGCTGTGCTGTGCTGTGCTGTGCTGTGCTGTGCTGTTATCATTTTGAATCATCCTAACATGGGGCTATCTTTTAGTTTCAGTTTCTTTTGCATTCAATGCTGCACTCATGGGAGAGGTCTCTTTAGTTGTCAATACAGTAAGAGCGAAACTTGGCACCAAAAACTGGGACGACAATTCTCTAGCGGTACTCTGTCGTATGGCTGGAGTCGAAGGACCCCATGAAGTTCCTGCTTTAACTCTTGGGTCAAAAGTTTCACAAGTTGAGCAATTCCTTTGGTTAAACAATGTGAAATGTTTTGGAAACGAAAGCTCTTTGTTGGACTGTGAAAACCCTGGATTACGAAATAAAAATAAATTTGGTTTAGCGTCTTCTTCTACGGCGATGGCAGTCTGTGGTCGAGTAAATAGTGAGGACATTTTAATGCTTTTAATAATTTCCATTCTTCTTCTTGTTCTTGTTCTTTTCTTCTTCTTCTTCTTTTTTTTTTGGCTGTTGCTGCTGTTGCCGTTGCTTCTGTTGTTCCTGTTGTTGTTGTTGTTGTTGCTGCTGTTGTTGTTTCTGTTGCTTCTACCTCTTTTATTGTTGCTTTTTGAAGTTCTTCTCGTCCTCCTTCAATTTTATAATTAAGGTAGCTCTATTCTTTTCATAACCTCTTCTGACATGCATCTTGTTCTTTTCTTCTTCTTCTTGTTTTGGATGTTGCTGCTGTTGCCGTTGCTGTTGTTGTTCTGTTGTTGTTGTTTCTGCTTTTCTTCCTGCTCTTGTTGCTTCTGTTGCTGTTGTTGTTGTTGTTGTTACTGCTGCTGCTGCTGGTGCTACTGTTGCTGCTGCTGGTGTTGCCGCTGATGTTTTTGTTTCTGCTCTTGTTCCTGCTCTCGTTACTTCTGTTGTTCCTATTGATGTTGTTGCTACTGCTGCTGCTGCTGTTGCTACTGTTGCTGCTGTTGTCGTTGTTTCTGTTGTTTCTACTTCTTTAATTGTTGCTTTTTGAAGTTCTTCTCGTCAACCTTCAGTTTTATAATTAAGGTAGCTCTTCTCTTTTCTTGACCTCTTCTGACATGCATCTTTTAGTAAATCTAGCTTATCCTATTTTTTTAGTTACTTTTGAGCTGACTGAAGGAAGAACATCGCGCCAAGGGATGGTCAAACCTCTTTTCAATGGTCTCCAAGGGGTGTTCTACCTCCGACCAGAACACAACTACACCAACCTCGCTAAAGTAATCTGTCGCACACTTGGTCTTCCTCCACCATCATTGTTCGTTAATGATGCAAAGATCATTTCTCGCTATCCACAATATAGAACACTGGGTATAAAAGATCCCCGTTGCTATGGAAACGAGTCATCTATTGGCGAATGTAAGAAGACGATAGTCAAGGATGACAATACTGGAGGTCTTCCTGGATTGATTTGTGGAAAAGGTAAAAAAGCCTGTATAAATATGAAACATTGTCTGTTTTTGGACTAAGTTTTTGATCTAACGTTGTGTGACAAGTCACGTTTTATGCGTCATGTCACATGACGTCTTGTCACACCACATCAGGATTCCCGTTAAATTTGTTAGTTAGCCATGCCCTGACTTAGATCAGCCCAGAGGTTGTCTCAGGGTTCTATCTGTGAGTTAGCCGCGCCCTGACTTAGATCAGCCCAGAGGTTGTTTCAGGGTTCAATCTGTGAGTTAGCCGTACCGTAACTTAGATCAGCCCAGAGGTTGTTTCAGGGTTCAATCTGTGAGTTAGCCATGCCCTGACTTAGATCAGCCCAGAAGTTGTTTCAGGGTTCAATCTGTGAGTTAACCGTGTCCTGACTTAGATCAGCCCAGAAGTTGTTTCAGGGTTCAATCTGTGAGTTAGCCGTACCGTAACTTAGATCAGCCCAGAGGTTGTTTCAGGGTTCAATCTGTGAGTCAGCCATGCCCCGACTTAGATCAGCCCAGAGGTTGTTTCAGGGTTCGATCTGTGAGTTAGCCATGCCCTGACTTAGATCAGCCCAGAGGTTGTTTCAGGATTCTATCTGTGAGTTAGCCGCGCCCTGACTTAGATCAGCCCATAGACTTTTCTGGGTTTGATAAAGTTTGCATGAAGGTAAGTAAATCGCTAAGTTAGTCTGGGCTGCCTGTGGCAAAGAAAGACACGGCTACCGATGAAAAGAATTGATTGTAACGCACTTATCAGGCGTTAGGGTGCACAAAGTTCAAACGAAGTCATTAAACCCAGTATTTTGAACACGCGTTTGTAGTTTAATCGACAAATGATACGGTTCGACAAGAAATTACACGGTTACACGGTTCGAAAACTACGAAACAAAGAAAGGTAAATAAAGGTTACAAAACTACAATAAATGCAGAGGAATCACAATCAAATATCTAGAGAAAATCCTTACTACATTACTGGGCCTTTTGGTAATGAATAAAAGTCGGGAAGTAGAAATAAAACGTAGAAAATATAACAACAAATTATATTAGTCGCACATGGTTTCTTCTGCCTTATGTCTCTCAAAACGTTTCTAATACGTCTTATTCTTCCGCGCGACTCTGCTGACCGGAAGTGTCAAAAGAAAAAATCCGAATAAATTATAACAATATTAACGACAAAACTGTTCTGTATCAACAAATGTTCAGCCATTACACTGATACCTGGAAATAATAAGCCTGCATGTGAACATGATTCTGCTGTGAGGAGGGGACTGGGGAGAGGAAGGGGTTCCCCTCCCCTTCCCGTCCCCAGTGCCCTCCCCAGAGAGGCAAGTTCACAGGCAAGGAAAAATCTGATTTTTAAATTGCCTATAAAAAAAGATTGAAGACATCCCTTTCGTTTATAGATTTTTATTGTCCATCTGGTTGTGCTTGTTCGTATGCGCTCGACAGCGTTCACTGCACCAACGCAAATCTGACTGAAGTGTTCCAAAACATTCATATGTTTACTTCAACCCTGTGAGTAAAAAAAAAACTCTATCAGACCTTTTTAAATTAGTCAGTAATAAACATCCAACTGTATACTTTAATTATAAACTCCTATTTTTGAAAAAACGTCAACTTGTTTGTCGCAGCCAAAAGAAATAGGCGATATAAGCGATAAGAAATATGTCATTCAAAGACCCGGCAAGTGGAATAGCGGAATGACTTGTGTTTCTAGTTTCATCATGCAGAGTTAATACCTCTGTTTTCATGTTCAGTGTTGCTTGTATTTGTGTTAAATTTACGACATTTCGTCTCCCAGAAAGATTCCTCTAGGAAATCAATCCAAGGTGTCTATATGCCCTTAATTCCTTTCTGTCTTGGAATGATCTATCGCCTATCGCTTTGGTTTCGACAACCTTCTAGGTGGATATTCATTCACTCGGGGCAGAGCCTCATTTCAGCATTAAAACATTCACGAATTCTCAAATTTCAAGTGTAATCTCTTGCGCTTTCACAACCTTAGTGGTGGCTATAAGGGCCCAAAGTTTGGTTCTAGTCTTTTAATCAAGATTTGGCTACATATTCGTGTACGGGAGAATTTGTCAGGGGAATTCTATTTAAATTAAAATTTCGAGTGAGGAGAACCAAAATCCCACTCGCGTAACCCCGTACAAGAGGAATTTTATTAAAACGGCTATGGTCATTTGCCCATAGCCAATTTGATCCAATACTGGAGTAGTTGTTCACTGATGACTGGCCCCATAAACGATCGGCATGTAAAGCAGCATACCCACACATTTAAGATTTAATGTTTACACGGATGGAGCAAATTTTCTAAAAAGGAATCGTGCGTTCAGAGACGCTCTTAGCTAATTTTTATGCCCTTTTAAAATCTATCTTTAATGTATCAAGTCATCTTCAAGACAATGGATCAAAAACAGAACTAGACGAGTCTTTTCTCCTGCGACTCCCACTAAAAGTATCAACACTGTAAGTGTGTTCTAATCTAGTGCTCACTCTCCGGCATGCTTGCTGGAAAATACTAAAACCACATATCAATGATATCCCTTATATTCCTATTTCATTTGGGAAAACAATACGAAGCATGGTTCACTGATCTGCAGTTTTCGGAAGAGTTTCGGATTTTATTCGGCGGACACAAAAATTTACTAACCCGACCGTACTAAAGTATTAATAATGCAGTTAAAATATTCTGGTTTGAAGTTGTTTGTGCACTAGCAACCATGTGATTAATCTGCATTACAATGTGAAAACCATCATGGCGACTATCGTGAATATAAAGTATTGACGCCCTTTAGACCAATCACAGAGCGCGAAATTATTGTTCATCCAATCAACATCCTCGCAAACAGTATCTTCACGGTCACGATCGACAACGCATGCGTGTATCTAGCGAGCAGTTGTCAAAGTCCCAAAGAGGGTTTCTCAGTGCGCAGCAATATATACCTCTATCAAGCGACCAACCTCTTTTTAACAACCAATTGCCACAGTCTCAAAAAGGGTTTTTGCACTCGTTCATACCTGACGGGAAGGCCCTTTTATATCATTGTTGCAACTTTGGCTGCAGATTGTCTTACAAACCTCGAAGTGTTCTAAGAAATTGTATTTTTTTTTCATTTTGTAGTTCGATAAAAGGATACAAAATCCACCGGTTGAAGCGGGTATACTTTTTCCGTCTAAAGAATAAACTGGATAAATTGTAAGTTACTAATACTCTAGGGCATAATGTCATTCGTAGCTCTCCTTGTGACTTCTCTTTGATTAATCAATCCACGGTCAAATCCGGGACGTAATAATCCATCCTGGTCAAATATTTCAGACCAAGTGTTATTCCTTGAGAATAAGATTCTTTGGTTTAGTCGCAAACGTTAAACAAAGAAATGATATTCAAGGGAATAACACGCGGTCTGAAATGGGTAAACATTGCACCACAACGAACAACGAATAAGGTCAATATTCAAAATATGTTGCTTGGCTACTATTTGGGCACACTTGAATGAGAATGGATAATGGAAATTTGAAACTTGGCTAAACTTATCTCATATATTTTCACAAACTCACGTGGTCTGAAATTGGAAAACATTCTTTCTTTTTTTTTCTTTCTTTCTTTTTTAAATTTTAAAACCTTTTTTTCATTCATCATCAGAACACTTGAAAACAACGACCTCCACATTCTCGATCCGTGGTTTATTTCGAGGCTTAAAATGAGTGCAATGTAAGTTGTGCTTTGATTTGAATTGATTTTGAACCGATCTGTGACGGAGTTAGCCATACCCTGAYTTAGATCAGCCCAGAGGTTGTTCCAGGGTTCGATCTGTGAGTTTACCGTGCCCTGACTTAGATCAGCCCAGAGGTTGTTTCAGGGTTCGATCTGTGAGTTAGCCATGCCCTGATTTAGATCAGCCCAGAGGTTGTTTCAG